TATAACATAACATTATTCCTTTCTCCCGATGTGTGAGGTACATCGATCGCACTTTGGCGCGTGAATATTTCCAAGGAATCGCAATTTCGCTCTAACTTTATCAATACAAAAATGCCGTCGAAAATATCTTCCCCTTATCGGGCTTTTTTCGTAATAATCAAGAATCGCGCGAGTGGGAAATTCGTGTGAGTTATCTGGGGAATCGCGAGTAACGCTAGCCAAAAGCATAACTAACAAGAAGAGTAGGGACGGGCGAAATTGATCGATCTACAAATTAATTACAAATTAGTTTTTTCTTTTAGTCGGTTGTTGACAGATTATTTTTCCAAATTAATCCGTGCGTCAATATTGGAATATAGACATTTCACAAGAATAACTTCTCAAACGTATCGAATCACCAATCGCAAAGTTAATAATTGAATAGCAACTCAGAAGCAATCAAAGTTAATTCGTTGAATCTAATAGTATGTACATACAAAATATGTTCAATTCTTGCTCGATTATTATACCATTCGAATAAAAATCAAAAGATCGTAATTACAAAAAGCTTGCATAAAAGTTATAAACATTTAATTGTCGCTTTATTCATCTTTCATGATATTCATCTTTCACGGTATTCATTTTTCATGGTTAAAATGTCTGGTTGTAATAATCGGTCGAAATGATTACGTACTAATTATTGCCCATCCCTACAAGGATATCGCTTGTCTCCTATGAACTAGCTCAAAATGTTTCATCCCCGTTAGAAGGGACACGTTCCGGTAATAACAGTAATTATTTATTCTTTCGCCCGTTTCTTCGCAGTCTCAAAAGCATCCTACATCACAAACATCAACGTTGGAAACTATAGTAATATCCTGTACTTTTCGCCAGCATCCGAGTTTGTTGCGGATTCAGCGCTATTTTAACGATTTTAACGAATACGTCGAAACTAATCGTCACACGTACCCCTGGGGAAAATGGCGAAAGAAAAATCGCACGTAAAGCCAATGTAGTCTGCAAGTAAAGTTGACTTCTAAAATCCATTGAAATTGTCCCTAAAAGTGATCGCCTGTACACAACTGTAGCCTGTAAGCGAGAATGTTCCGATAGGGTTGCGTTTAGTTCCAAAACTTTGTTAGCAAAATATTCTTAAAAGCCACATTGCATGTGGGTCTCGATTGTAAAGGTTACTTTATTTCTTGATGACACCTTTTTAGCTACGACCAAAGCGAATACGTGTTTATTTAATAAGTAGGTAAATTTTCGCACTTATAATATTATAATATTAAATTGTGAAGTTAATTCAAAAATCGCTTTTTCCTATTTAAAACAATAAGACGTGAAAGATTTTTGAATCTTTCTTATGATCATATGATCATAATTCTTTTTTTTAAATAGGATATCGGTCGTATCTAAAAATATGTCACTATAGGAAATTTCATTGAAAAAATATCTTCAGAAATATCTTCAGAAAAAAAATAAATTTTCAAGAAATTTTTGATTGAGGTGTAACTTTTAGGAGCCAGATGAAAAAGAATAAGCAGAAATGTGCAAATTCATTTGTCGTTTGTTAGGTTACAGAACTTTTCAACTCCGATAACAAAGATCCGATTAAATGATAGGTTTCGCATTATCGATAAGTCCTGCGCACGCATTGTATCTTAATACATAATGATAACATTTAATAGAAATATAAATATGAATGCAAATTTGTAACATCGTCATCGTGCTAAAGTCATATTCATTGTTTTAGAAAGCTCGTCGACTTTGTAGTTCGGATTTCATCACCTTAACGCGAAGTAATTTTCTCCAGTTAAAACAGTCGAAGGGGCAAGTAAAAAAGAGCAATGCGTAACATACGGATCGTATTGTATTATCGCCATTAATCTCAAGCATCAATCAACAATTGTAGTAGCGAAAATTTAATGCTGTACACGGATCCATGATCCACGAATGAGTTTCAACAAGAGCTATCACATTATAAAATTGATATTACTGTTATAATAACTTGCGAATCTTTTCTCTTATAAAATACTCCTTCTTTTGTAGAAGAACGCGATGTGTGTCTCGTTCTTCTACTTGCCCCTTCGATTATGAAAATTCCACGATCCTCCAACATGATCTCGAGCGCGCGTAGACTCAAACGATACAAAAGCCCTGTGAAACGACTAAAGAACGTTTAAACTGACTAGAGAGATTAAACGTTCATTAAACGTTCGCGCGAAACAGACTGACAAACAGACGATCGGGTCGCTCGTTCAAGAGCAAACTGCCGATTTTATCAGCGATATAATTTCGCATCCCCGTGTCGTTAAACACCGCGCCAGGCGGCAACGGCAGGTGGACACGGACAAGAAGAGGGGGAAGAAAGGAAGGAGAGAGGGTGAGAGGGAGAAGAAGAGGGTGAAAGTAAGAGAGGAGTGGAGCACCTGACGTGCCCGGAGAGGCGCTGCCCGATTTCGCTACGACGGAAGACTCAGTTTCCTCCGTAGCCGTCTTTGCTATCTTTCCTCTTGCGGACGCGGATTAGCCGCGATCATCGGTGCGGCTATTAATTTCTCTTCGGCAAAATCTCAACGCGTCTTGACGCCTCTTATCGCTGATGCCTTGGCGGCTCGGTATCGAACGACGCGGGCGTTCAGAACGCTCGGTCGCGCGCCTTGACAAGATTGAGGACTCGCCGCCTGTACCAGCGAATAACGACGATTCGTCACGACGATCGTTGCTCGTTAGCGCACGACAATGGCTCAACAACGGATGATAACGAGAAACGGATTCCTCGGATTCCCAATCACGATTAACATTTGATCGGCTCTCCGACGACCAGCGTCGCTAATAGCGGCCCGTGCGATATCGAGGGGATATTGTACAGCCGTCGAAGGATACGGTACTCATCGAGATCGGTTGCGGGGAGGAGAATATCGAGCAAAAGAGGAGGAGAAAAACAGAAGAGTTGTCGTCTCGTTAACGTAACGTAACTTTGACGGGCGAGGCGCCCTGAGGGGGGAACTCGCCCGACAGAATATCATTTGTCGTCGATCAAGGTGTCCTTTACTCGGGCTTCAAGCGATGCCACTGCACAATGGTCTGTCTCGGCTTTGTGATCATGTCCTGCCAATGTTTCGTTTCGCTCGCGCCACTTCCATTTTTCCCTGGAAAGGAAGTTACGCCATGTACTGTACACCGGATTCCAATTTCAATCTGCTATCTAGTTCTATGACATTTTAAGCTCGGTTACAATGGTTATTTGATAAGGGGGGATTATTTGAGGTGTTAGTTATTTTAGCGCGAAAGAGAGAGATTACATTTTTGAATATTAAACCCTCGAGCAAGATAGCGTAGAGTATAGATATTAGAGTAGTATAGATATTAATTTTACACAATCCAAGTCCACTATCCGGGCGTATAACAGATATGATCTATCTCATATAACTCCATTATTCTTACAATTTCTTTTAAAAGATTGATAATGACTTTAGGAATTTTGAAAATAAATTACGTCCAATATTCAATCTAGTTCAAATTGAATTAAGCATATTTATTTCGATACTTTCATTAATTATAATTCCAGAACTTTTTAATGCAGTAATCTGTTATCTTAAATATGAATATATTTATAGAAATATCACACAAGTTTTTATACTTAAACTTGCGTTATCGAAAATACCTGCGAGCTGAATCCGACCGATCAATTCGTTCCGTCCAATGTTGTCGAAATCCATTACCATAACATCCAAAGAGCATTCTCTGATCTTCTCCCAAGGTACGTTAAAGGAGAATACCTCGTTAAATACTGGATTCAAGGTGCATTTGAAAATTGGAGTCTTGCGCTTCTCGATCCTTTTGTCGCCAAACTGTAGCCACACTTTGACATATGGATCTGAAATTGTAATAAATGTTCAATTAATCATTTATCTACTTGATTAACCGTTTTCAATTTTATTGATTATAGAAAAATATAACAAAACGCATTATTGTGTAAGTTACATGACATTTTAATGTGATTTAATTAAAAAATATATTTTAATGAAAAAAGTATGTATTATTTATATATAAGTGGAGAATATATTTTGAATTCTCAAAAAATGTATACGTGTGCGTTTATGTCAGAAAATATAATTTTTCAGAAGGATTTATCGTATGCTGCGATGCGATATTCTCCATACCGAAGAATGTATGAATAATACGATAAATGTAACATTACCTGATTTTCCATTGATATCCTTAGCTTTGAGATTCCTTGCCTTTAAGAGAGTCAATGTCAATATAGAATTACTCGGATGATAGCACAGCGAGCACAAGAGTTCTCCACATTTATCTTTAGCTGGCGGCTTAAGAGCCTTCCAAAACGATGGTTTCTCGGATAGATCGACCTATGACAAACAGACCCATGAGATATTTCTAGTAACTAAAGTTTCAGTAACAATTACCAAACTAATTAACGAATCAAATTTCTAAATAGAGAACTTTATAATAGAGAGAGGAAGAAGGGATCCTCTTTATCTATTATATATCCATATTAACAACTTTAACTTTTCAACTAATTCTCATAGATTATTAATTTCATGATTAAACAATATGTAATATCATGATCTTATTTAGGAATAATTAAGTCTAATTAGAAATTCTCCATGTACATGTGAGCATCTCTTCCTCTTTCTCACCTTAATTAAAAAATTATACATTCTTCTATATTTCTTCTATATTTCTAGGGGTGAGGGAAAAGCTATATTATTATTATTATCTCCATCACGTTTGCCTCTTATTAAGGCGTACAGCAAACGTGAAATAATTAGTATTCTGTTCAGAGCGATCATATACGAACGTAGTAGTTAATTGATATCATATATTGCAAATTACGATTGTAAAATTTTTGCAGTATAAACACGTTCTGAACTGCACAAATATGTCAAACGTGATCCAAATCAGCTATTTGAAATTTAATTCATTGTCAAAACAATCGCTTTTGAACAAAAAGAAAAATTGCATGAGTTTATTTCATTATTATCATTATTATTATTATTATTATTATTATTATTATTATTATTATTATTATCATCATTAATAAACGTTTTATTACAAAGTCATATGAAGTTATTAATATTCAAAGCATTCTTATATAATATCAATTATTTTACTTATGTATGTATACTTGTGCTGCGCGCATATATGTACATCCCCCCTCCCCCCCCCCCCACCACACAGACACACACGCGATATTATATGTAACAACAGCGAGTGAGATTTGCGCAACGACCGATGCACAACACCGGCGTGTATCGCGAATTGCTCCTGGGAAATGAATGTACATAGGATAGAATTATCACACGCGCGTGTCCCCTAGTGTTATTGTGCACGCAGATTAATCCACCGCTTAGAAATATTGATATCGAATTAGAATTATTATTATGTTATTACGTATCCCTCGACACATAATTAGCCACGAATCATCTCCTGCGCGCATTAAACAAGAAACAATTGGCAGAAATTCGGTCGATCTTACGACATTAAGAAATCTTCCTAAAAAATCTAGATCTATTTTATAATTGTTTTGTTTAATAAGCATATTATATTATATACACAAATAAATTTGGATATATAAATAATCAGTTTATAAGAGAAAGCATTTCATTATTATTTTTATATTAGCATAAATGTATATTCAATGTTCAAACAAATAAAATATTTTTATATACAACACAGAAATATGTAATATATTGGAATAAATGTCGTATTATTATATAAATAATATGTTTAATAATATTATAATAACTATTTAATATGAAAACGTATTGTTCCACAACGCAAATTATGCGAATATCCATTCAATTTGTAATTTTATTTTATTTTAAAATAAAATAATTATTTTTATTAAAAGTTCAAGGAAGAGTTTTTGGTATTTTAGCGTACACTTCGCGTTTTCCAAAAATAATGAAACAATTCGTTCGTTCTTTTAACAGCAATTTCACGATGGTGAATAATAATTAGAGATTTGAACTTGAGGTAAGAATCCGGAAATCAACTTCGGAATAGCGCAAGTCGAGAGACGCGACATGTGTCGTCACGTCAGATTCCACATATCCGTTGCGAATCCTATCGCCATGACATGCGAAAATCCCTTAATTCGCATCTACCATATGTAATAATTGAACCGCGCAAATTGCGAGCAGGCACATCTCGCCAAATTACCTGGCAAAGCGGCAGAAACATTTCCCCTATGGAGTCATCCCTCGAGAATCGATCGTAGTCGAAGACGTGTAGATGTAATACTCTGCTCTGCAGCTTCTGTATGGGGAAACCTGTAGAGGATCGACACATAAATACACGTGCTCCGTCACATTATAATGACTGTGTTTATCAACCAAATTTAATTTCACTTTGTCCCCACAACACAATAAACAGACTTTTAAGACTATCTTTTATGTCAATATTGCATTTGCGTCGAGCTAACGTTTCAAAGCACATTTCAACGTAACACCTCCGCCCATGAAAAAAAAAAAAAAAATGAAATGACAGAAAATTTACATGTATTTCAATCGAGTTTTATTTTAAGATTTCATTTTAAATATAATATATAATAAGAAGAAAGTATGAGGTCGCTTTGTTACTTTCATATTGTTATCCCGCTATCCCGCTGCGGTTTTTCTTTAAATCGGCTTAACGCAATCAGATCGTCGTCTGCCTTATGCTCGCTACATTGTATGAAACAGAATTGCTTTGCATCGATTCCTTCTTCCGCGTTTCCGCGTTTACTCTTGGGAGGAGGTACACTTTAGCAATATGGCCAATATGAGAAGTATCGTGTCGAACGTGTGCGCTTACCTTCGAAATAGAACGTCTCGTTCCATCTCGGATTCAATGTGCGCCTTTTGATTTTTGTCTCGAGTCGGTGTTTCTTGTCCGGGAGCAATGTTACACGTACATACGGATCAGAAGTACCTGACAAATCCTTCGCCGGCAGATCTTTACCCTAAAGCAAATTGGACATCACATAAGACAATGTTGGAATTTTTAAGGGAAGAGAGACGAAGAACTTTCTCTCCTCCGATAAGCTTCCGATGATTACGTGGAACATGCACTTTCGTGTAACTTTCGCAGCAAGTCTTCTCACGAAGTTTGATGTAAATCTCTCTCTCTATATATATATATATATATATATATATATACATACAACTCTACGCATGGTGCTTGCATAATGTTATAAATAAGAAGGGATTTTCTGCTCGATTAGCCCGTAAATACAACAGCATGAAATATTCAAAATTTTTTATACTTTTATGAAACTTACGAATGAATATCCATTTCTGTTGATGTAAATCAGCGAGTTAATCTCGATTTAATCCATTATCTCTTTATCTTTTTCAAATTTTCTTATTTTTAATTAAAAAAAAGATAAGAAATAAATTAAACCGAGATTAAGATTAATCTACTTCTACTATCTCTTGATAGAAAATGGATATAAATAAATGATAGGATGGCCTTTAAAAAGATAAAAAAATACGACACGAAAATGATGATACTCGAATCGCTTCAAGTGACTTAACTTGCTATCATAGTTTTGAAATAGGAAGAGAGAGCATTTTATACCACGCATGTGAAACGACAGAATGAAAACGTGCGGAATTTACGGATAATCCGGCTTTATTTATATATGTAGTTGTTTCGTACGCAACATTAATATAAAACATATGCATTTGTTTAGCGGAAGGTCGGCAAGGAAATACGTCTTTGTTTCTATTGCGTCTAAAGCTATCATCTTATCTTTCAAGTGTACATATAAGAGACTTCAGTCACTGTGTACGATGCACAACAGCCTCTGCGATAACTGGCAACTCGTCTTGAGATAGATTGTAAGCGTATGAGCTGTATGTATACCGATGCTGTTAATGGAAACTACATGGAAATAAAATCAATAACGGCCATTAACGACCTTGATGGTCGTCTGTATTTTGAAAAATAAGTCTTCCCCGAAAGTACCCTTTTTCCAACTTTCCGCAATGGTTCGTTCGGCTTGAAAACTCAGTCTTGAAGGCAACTTTACGCTGGAGATGGACGATCATTTTTCATTTGCCTGTCAGACCGTTTCTGTGAACTTCATAAAGTCATTATGCCGACTCAAATTTTTCGTAAGGAACGACTCCGCGCATTTAACGTATCGCAAAACTTTGGCAGGCACAAGCTTTGAAATTATATAGGAGTTCAGAAAAAAAAAGAATTTGGAAAGTCTTATCTAATAAAAAAGAATTTCTGCGCAAACATAATTGTAAAGATTCCCTTTTTATTTATGAACCATTAAAGATAAATGATATTTTCTTGATAAACAAATCTTTTAATCCTCATTTAATCCTAAGTGTTTTGACATAATTAAAATATGGAGCCTCGATAATTAAATAAAATAAAGTACTTGATGTGGAGAATTAAAAGAAAATTAAAAAATGTAAAATAAAAATAGCACTCGGTCAAATTTCCAGAAAAGTCAAATTTCCAAATTGATAAAATTTCATAAACAAAATTTTTTGCTGTAACACGTACATATAATTCCGCAACACCTTGCACGTATGTATGCAACGAGAGTGTCATTATACGTGAAATTTTTACCTTCGAGTTCACATATTATGATGATATTGGACACGAATGGAATAAACGCGATGTCTTTGGTGAACGCTTGGTTGAACTCTTCGAGGTGCTTTGAAAATTTTCACACTGCGAGACACACGAGAGGGACTTGTAAAAATAGAAATTTTTAAGGACGAAAGCATGTTTCCGCTATCATTGGAGATATATTCCGGGTCGTTTGCGATAGCTACGAAAAACACATTTCGCGATACGAAATTAACTAAATTGTCTGAATAACAAAGAGATAGATACCTCATGAAAATAACGTTGTGTACGCATCATTAAATTTCATGAAAACTAACGAAATAATGAGAAAAACAAAAACAACCACACTTTTAGTAATTTTACATACGTAAAATACGTTAACACAGTGTTGAAAAATATATAATAAAATAAAAGTTGCAATGCGCCAAAGCTCTCTAATAAATAATTCAATAATAAAGCGATTAAATATTCGCTAAGAAAAAGAGGTCAGATGCAAATTGAGTGTGAAACAAAACTTTTACCGGTATGCTTTTTTGATAAACTGCCCGATAATATTACGCACAATTCCATTATAATTTTTTCCGCTGGAAAAATGACACACTATATATGGTCATATTCTTACATAAAACATTAAAATTACATTTCTTACGTAGTAATAATGCGATTTTATCTTCTTTATGATTAATGATAAATGATTTAAGAAATAATTGCCTATTAAAGCCTCAAACAACACAATGCAATATGAAATTTGAATTTATTATAATAACGTATAAACGGTGTGCTTAGAGGGATGCTCTCCCTTCAATTTCTAAGATTTTGGCACGATAATTTTCACTCTGGAAAACAAAGAAAACGGGTGTCCGGGTGTTTCACTTAATGTCGAATTAAATCGTGCGGGGCGAGCGCAATCCAGCGTTTGGAAAGAATTTATGCGTTTGTTTACAACAAAAATCTCCGTCCCCACCCCCGTTGAACGTTCCACTTTTATCCCGAGACCATCGCGCGACGAGTTTCAAAAGTACCCCTCTCCCTCTGCCCTCGCTGTAACAGGAAGTAATGTATGACGTCCCAGTTTACTAGGATACGTATTTTCGTGCAATGTACAGATACATTTTCGGCGTGCAACGCGTGTGTTCCACCGACGATTTATGACGTCTCTTATCGACGTGGCCGCGCAGCGAGATCAAAAATCAGCTAATGCGCTCACCTATATCTCTCTCGGTTTTACGTTTTCCGCGGCTTCTGTCGGAAGACAGAAACGTCGACGAGAAGAGAAACGCCCGGAATCAATCTATTTGTTTACGCAAGAGCAACACGCGGATGTACATGGAGTGGAAACACCAGTCTTATTACCACGCTTACAGCATCCATTCGTGTAAACAAGCAATTTATCCCCCGTTGGCGGTAACGATTTTACAAACTTCATTCACTTGAATTAATTATTCAATATTGTATACTTTGTGTGGTTTATGTTAAAATTACATCGACACCACGCCATGACGTTATCACTGTTACAAATGATGTCTATCCCTATGTTACGAATTTAGCGAGGTTCCAATTGCCCGCGATCGACGCGTGCGTCATATACAAACACAAGTGATATCGAAGTAAATGGCTCGCAGGCATGCTTCAAAGAGCTGAGTTCTAGCAAGCACATCCATCGAACAAAACTTGGACTGACCTGTATGATGCGCAGAATAAGCGTGCTGTTCTGGAAGTCGTACTCGAGACTGAAGTGGATCTGGCCGACGTTTTCGCTCGGTTCCGAATTATCGATGTACATGTCGACCAAAGAGATGGATCTGCTCTGTAGAAATGCTTTCTGCAACACAGAGATCGCCGATGCGATCGTTACAATCGCTTCCTTTCTATTTCGTGAAAGGTAACCTATCTCACAATCCTTCCCGGGACACTTTTACTCCAATAGGATATGGTTAGAGAAAGAGAACTACTGGACCACTGGAACGCAATTTTCTTAAAATCGTATTACAAGAAAGAGATCTGGAACGGGATGAATTAACAGTTATAAATTAGATTTCACGTTTTCGTCTCTAATGCACGAAGAATCCACTGTATCTGTTACATCAAGATGTAACAGAAGCGATATTAACTTAATTACATTTTGCAAGAAAACGTGAGTCCTATAATAATTTCACATCAAATTTTTATCAAATAAATTGTATCACTGATAATAAATGATATTTAATAATCGCTACTATAAGTATGGAAAATAATAATTTTTAATTTTAGATAATCTATAACTTCAATTAAAATTCAAAATGGAATTCTATGTTAGGTATTTTGTCGTATAATACAAAATACATTTGAGAAAAAAATCAGAATACACATTTATGAAAATATATAAAAATAAATGTATATCAAGATATGACATATAAAATTATAAATAGAATTCTATCTCGAAATCTGAGATGACAAATTATAAATTCTCCAAAGCGGATGTCAGATTGACTATTAATTATTAGACATTAATTTATTAATCAGTTGCACTTAATTGTTAATACTAATATATATAAATAATTTTTGATTAATTGTTTTTTTGATTAATTTTTGATTAATTGTTAATACTAATATATATATAAATAAATATTATTAATAACATAAATACTATTTTAACAACATCATTTATTAAAAATAAATTATCTTTTTTTTGAACTAATAACTAACTAATTCTGCCTCAGACAATATTTTTTTCGAAGACTTCCTATAAATTCAAAATCATAAAAACTGATCGGTTTCTGATTTATAATCATTTTTCCATAATCCACCCAGATAATTTTCTTTCGTGAAAAATTCAATTGACTGCGATGTCGTTGTAATTGTGTAGAAAATCTAAATAAGAGATTAGAGAGTTTTTACCGAGGGATGATCTCCTTTGACATTCTGCAATTGCTTATTCTGTGGTCCGGCAGTTGGTGTACGGGGTTCCGCACCACCGGCATTGCTGGCGCCGCTTCCTGGTGCCGCTGTTGCTCCTGCTGCACCACTCGCTGGACCACCGCTACCACCTGCTGGAGATTTGCTAGAGGGACTACCGGTCGTCCTGAAAAGAAAACATCAGAAAATTCGTCACATTACATCGTCTGCGCCCGCATTTACCCCGACATAATTTTTTTTTTTCTTTCTTTCCTCTTCTTCTCGTCTTTCCTCGCTTTTAAACAGAGCGTCGTTATAGTAATCGCCTGAAGAGATATCAAAGTGAAACTTGACAATGTTTACTCGTCTTATTAGTCTCCAAGGTCTAATTATTACTGTCGCCAGGAAGGCTTGTAATTTTAAATGTAACATACTTGCTTTTACCGCATCTCTCTCTTTTACGTAATTATTAAAAAAACGATAAGTCTCTTATAATCCGTCTTACTCTCTTTTCTTAATTTTTGTAAAATTCCTTTCAAAGTTGATCTTATCTGCGCAATTTTCTACAAACAGATATTTCAGTTCGCATATATAATTTCCATTATTATACCATATTATAATTGTAAACATTTTAAAAATATTAAATGTTCAATCTAATTAAATATCTAATTGATTAGAAACGCGAAGCGCAGAGAGCGATCGTTCAATCTGGAAACCATGCGGATCACATTCACATAATTAAATTTATTTATAATTAATTCTGATAATTGCTAACCACATTTCATTTTTCAAGATGCTAGACTGGTATCAAGCCCTAAAGCCTTATGTCCACGACGTTAGAAATCTCTCGGACGAAGAGAGAATCGGTCACAATTGCATTTGAATAATTCGACTAATTAACCAACGTGATCGGTCAATTGTCTTTCCGTCCGAGGTCTCTGGCCGATTTCTAGCATTGTGGATCTCTAATGAGATAAATATTGTCATTGTCGTTCGAAAGATAACGCTTTAGAAGCGCTCTTGCGATTGATTCGAAACTCGTCGACAATGAGAAGGGGGAGTCTGATTCGACCCCTCCCCCCTGTCTGTTATGCATGCACAGGCTTATCAACAGTGTCGTACATCCCAGCGATATGTTTCTGTAACGTACGTTAGGCATAATAGGCGACCTAGGATCTAGATAAATCTTATCGCTCCGACTACTGTATCGCATCTACTGCGAACTACGCTGCTAATCGAGACAACGTTCTCTCGGCAGGCACGCAAGCCGATACGCTTCCAGCATGTCGTCGGCTTATTAATAGTTGCTGTTTACTACCAGTCACGACTGCGGAGCGTTCATAACTGTGCAGAAAACGGCTGAAGCCACGGCAGGGGAGAAAAATGAATCCATGTATATATATATATATATATATATATATATATATATATATATATATATATATATATATATATATATATACATACAGAAAGGAGAAATACACATTCGCATAAAATTTCTTTTATCCGATTAAAGGGAGTTTTCATGCACAGCGGATATATTTTACCCGGATCGGTGTGAGTTCCCTTATTTACCGCGATTCTCTATTCATAACTCATAAATAAGAATGAGAAAAAAAATCCGCGCACACGGAGAGTGCTCAGTTGTCGATGTATAGGAAAAGTGCATCGTGAGATATCTTGCGACAGCAGGCAACGTAAATTTAGATGACCGTCGTCGCCGTGGCATATCGGAACGGTTGATTACTGAAATGCCTCTTTCCGAGAGGCATTTCAGTAATCAATACATTCCGCGTTTACCTAAATGGATGTGCCAGCTACATAAAAATCACACGTAATATTCGACAGGAGATACGTGGCAGGCGAACCATGAAAATTTTGCTAATATTGATGAAATGCATGTTGACTTGCCCTACATCGCTGGATAATATTGCTGGGTGTTAATCAAACAGGTTTCTACGGAAATTAAGGCTGTCACGTCCCTGTATATTCAATATAAAATAAATTTGGCAACACGGTACACAAATATTCATTGCGTTTACGTAAAATTGAAGGAAAGAGATCGAAAAATTGTAAAAAAAAATATTAAAACAAATTCTCCATGCGATAAAGCTAACTTCGTTATATCTCCGTTTCGTTTTGTACATTTAATTAAAATATATATTTGCAAAATTGATTCGTACAATACCATCAAATAAAATCAAACAAGTCATAAATTATAATTAAATTTGATAATTATTGTTGCCAATTATAATTTCCAATCTAACCAGAATATGCCAGAATGTCAAAGGGACGATAACTAGCGTAACGATCTCTCTCGACATTTCCCTAAATTGATTTCAAAATGTAACTAAAAGAACCTATCAGTTAAAATAAAACATAACAGAAATGAAATAACGTTGTACGTGTGTCGCGAAAATGTATAATATCGGGGAAATTCTTGTATCTTAAAATACGACTGGCGTGACTTTTATGATTAAAATTCCGATTCAAGCGCTAATTGCAAATTCCGATTTGTCGCTAATTGCTCGATATTGTTTCAACATTACGATCAATTCTCAGAAACTAAACGTCTTTGATAACAATTAATGCCATAAGACACCATCCCATCTTGTTAATATACCTCCGGGCAAATGGGGAAACTTGGACGTACGGATTCGCCCTGGTAACGCTTTCACCTTCGGAAGCTTGTGCCGGCGTCCGAATTCTGGATCTGTAATTCGATCGCTAACGCGACAAGCAAACGCGACATTCAAGCGCATTTGCGAAAGGTTAAGGGCGCGCAACAATAGGTAAATCGTGTCGGGCGATAACGGAAACGTCCGCGACACGTTGTTTTCAGCCATGGCTCGACACAACGCGTAACTAGAAACCATACATTCAACGGTCCCCGAGCGGACGCACAGCTGGAGGAGGCCCCATTGTATTCAGCCCGATGAATGGTGACGTGAATGCGCTCGCGGAACTAAGTTTTATGAGAATAGTGGCAGAAGTTTCGCCGATGTGTATTTATCAATTCGCGCCGCGCGTAAATGGCATAATCGGCGAACTCATATACTAAAATTCTCCTGGAGGATAACCATAAACGCAATAATGATCGCAAATCGCGTCTGGGAAATCTCTCGAAACGGAAATAAGCTCTTCAGTCTCTCCCTTCACGGTCATCATTTATTTCGCCGTTCTATTTGAAACGAAAATAAAAAGTAAACAAAGTGATTAGCGTACAGTACATGCGAATCCTCATTATTCCATTTCATCCGAATGAGATGATGATTTTGTAGACTGTTTTACGATTGTGTTCGTTTTTAAACGGTTTTGAAACTGCCGCGTTCCAATGATGTTGATCCGGAACTATTAAAAAAAATATCGAAAAATTGTGCGTATCCGTGTAATGTTAACAACGAAAAATTTGTCTTGTAAATGCTGTTAGTCCGCTGACCGTACAAACAAGATCTATCGTGTCTGTTCGATTGCAGGCGTGTATTTACGTATCGTGTGCGTATTTATGCAGGCGAAACGATAACACAGTGCGGTCCCAGAGTAAAGAATAAGGTAAATCCAGTAGCGATCCGAGCGTCGATCGAACTGGATACCCTCAGAGCGGAAAGCGCTATTACTACTAGTGTAGTAGACTGTAAGATACACTTGACAATAGCAGACAGGCATAGACGACAGACTTCGGAAAGATAGAGAGGTGGAGTTTGTCGTGAACACAAACGCCGGACTACGGACAAAGACAAATAGCGTTGCGTGGTGGTCGTCGATGCTCATCGACGAGAATGACTGAACGAGCATCTCCGACGAAGTGGAACTACTTACGCAGTTAAAGTAGCGCCGAGATCACAGTGGACAGTGTGTAATCCGTTAGAGAAGAGAAATCGGAAGAGAAGATAGGAAGAGAAGAGTTAAATGAAACGCAGCATAGAACAATGAATCGTTCATTAAAAGTCGCTTTTTTTTTTTTTAAGTCACACAGGTCGTTCATACTTACTCTAATTGCGCTCTGCGGTTCCGATCGTTACAGTGAAACGGGGCATGAAACAGAAAAAGAGATTAGTGATTAATTAATTAGCTAGGCACACGTACACAGGCACACGTCGCACGACGAATGAACGATAGAGTTCGTGACATCGGACAGGGATAAAAAAAAGAGCATCGCACCAACACTTGAAAAAACAACACACAACATTAAACACTGCAAAAAAAAATATCGCTTGTATGTACAATCTGAAAATTAGGAGTGAAGAGTCACAAAGAGGGAGAATAAAAATACGTACACTGACACGATCGAGGGCGGTCCTCAACGTGGAATCCGTATCGTAAGTCTCAACAGCTTACAGACAATACTGATAATGAGTGATATCACGTCAAGTAAACTGCTACAGTAAACTGCGGTTATAATTAACGAAGCGATAATACTTGCCAACGCCAGTTAATACGCCCGAGCGTAAAGAAGTTTCAATATTCAGAATTCTCGGAGTTAACTTCTGTCTTATTCGTTAAAATGAAAATTTCGTTAGTAGAAAGAAAAATTCGTAATACTTTTTTTTATTGGATACGGCTGCTAATCATATTTTTCTATCTCTATGACACGCTGTAAAATTATTTCTCGTGTCCTCTTAGGAATTATCAATGGTTAAATTGTAAATAATAGCGTCGACCATCGATAATAATTACATCAATTATTTCAAAATCCATTTTCATCATTTCCGAGCGCTTCAGCTTAGAAAGTACAGAGTTTGTTCAAACTTCTAGGAATATGTGTATACGTAACTTCTCACGTGATTTGTAACAATTAATCAGAAATTATTCAATCTGTAAATAATGGATAATATAACGGCAAAAAGTAGGAGCTATCTCGTATTAATAAGACATTATTATTCATTTATTAACATGAAATTTTTATTACTTATTTAAAGCGAGAGAGCAATGCATCGCGAAGAGAATATTAATGAATCTGTTATCAACCATTATTGTTATATATTATATTATTATAACTAGCCGCATGATATTAATTGCAAATTTACTTAAATCAAAATCAGAGAGGAATTTTCTAATTTATTAAAACGAAATAAAATATATTATTCCTTTTTACAATATATATCCGTGTATTGATTACGTAAGGCCATTAACTCGTTTCTTAGGGTGTATCCTTTATGGCCGCAACCGTGGAACGCCTATCGATATTCAATAGCCACATTTGACTTCGCATTATTGCGGAATTATACTGCGTGTGCACGTGTGAGTGTGTTTGTTAGGAATTCAGTAACTCTGAAACGAAAATAGATACATGTACTGATAAATGAACAACACACAACGGAATATAGAATATGCGATCTCCCGCACGGACGATATCATGGAAGTTTTGATATTAAATCAGCCATCGTTTCGCTCGGTTCACATTACGTACATTACCATATTAAAGATAGAGGTGCTCGCACATACGCGAGGAAATCGATAGTGCGCTTGATACAATTCTATTTATTTCAGCTAACCAACTTTTACGGGTAAGTATTTATGTTGCTTTTTAACGCGGTCTCTCGACGCACGGTTTCGATACCCTCAGGTTTTAAATTTGCATAGAGAGATTTACATTAACATCCCCTGCGAAAAAATGGATTTTGCCTCAAATATTTTGCATATTTAAAATTAAAAATCCGACATCTCAATTCAAAATCTAAATCCGACATCTCAAAATAAAATATATGCAATATATTAGAAATAAATATTTTCTAGAGATTTTACTTCAAAATATTTACTACAATATCAAATATATAAGTCTTGAAATACATGTAAACTAATATAATAATAAATGTTTTACTTTGTTTTATTTTTTGTTCATTGTGTTTTAAATTGTATTTTGGCCGAAGAAAGCTAGCTGGCTATGGCTTTTTTGGTATTTCTTTGATTCTTTCTCGTCATTATTTTAGGAATCTATACTATATATATACTAAAAAAAAATCTACAATTTTATCAAATCAACAGTTTTGGAAAAAAATTATTTATATAAATTGGAGTGATATGTTATCAAATCGTCAAAGGTGATATTTTTATTCCACACGAAAGCTATATTTTTGTCAAATCACAAATGTGTCACAAGCGTTTGACATTGTTAAACATGATTATAGTAATTAGTATAGTAAGAGTATAGTAAGAGTAATGCTAAACTTCCTTTCTTTTGTTTAAATTCCTTTAATCGTTCCCTTCATCGCTCATTCATACACCGTTCATTGCATATCAAAACTTGTTGCGAGAAATTAGTATTATTAACACAATAACTCTTAACAACGTTACTCATTTCATCACTCTCTACTAATTCTTTTTGAAGTTTAGGATACCTATTTTTTAAATCGCGATTTTTCAGAAGATTTTTCAGAAGGATGTTTTTCTCATGCACGAGATATTTTTATTTATCTCGTCTTTAGAAGATTCTGAAATATATCATAAATACAACGATTCTGTAATGTCAGAAAACCAAATGATAAGTAAAATATAAAAAATATATGAGATGATAAAAATAATGAACACCGATGATCTCAAGTACGAAATTAAAGCGGCTGGTATTTGTTAAGTATCCCAACATGGTGTCCCAGAGATTAATAACGTTGCGTGTAGTACACTCACACGTCCACTCTACAAGTTAATCGATAAAGTTACAAATGGAGTACAATATAAGAACGAAAATGGCGCATACACTGCCGCTCTCTTGCTACTTGATTTAGCATGTAAAGAACGAGCAGTGAAAACATTGTAAAACGTATAAAAGTGAGTTTTATAATTAATTGGATACATGTTGCGTGTGGCTATTGTAATTTTAACTTTATTAACTAATTAAATTTTATTTTCCATTTTACAGTTTTTATTTTAAAAATAAATTCAATCAAGATCGGTTTTCAACATCTTGTTGTAATCTATAGGAAAAAATGCGAATTAAAATAAAAATTCTTGCTAAAAAATTTCTCCACAAAGTTTCGTGGACGAAATTTATTTCAGAAATGAATTAAGCTAAAATTATCGAAAACAGAAATCGTTATATATTTGCATTACATTAAGTTCTACAGCAACTATTTATAGTCAAATAAAGTAATCGTAAAAAAATTTATTAAGTTAGAAATATTAAATTAATAATGATAAAAAAAACGTCGTAAAATAGAATTTTAAGATCATATTCGAAGCATTCTCGATCCCTCCATCTTAATTAAAAGGAATTGAATGAAACAAAATCATCGATAATTTTATCATCAATAATATTACTTCCTTCTCGTATTTTATATTTTATATTTTATATCTTTTTTATATTAAAAACTTCTTTATATTTTTTAATTATAATTCACATTTCCTATATTAAATTTGCTAAAATTGAATATAATTAAATTTGATAAGAAAGGCAAATTAAATTTCGTAATTTGTTTCCTATTTTGTATAAAATATTTTAAAATAAAATAAGATTAATTTATAATGTATAATTTATAATCATTCTGCCTTCAATTTGTTGTAATTTGTGTAATTTCAAGTCAAGTTACCGATTTGCCGCGTCAGTTGTTCGTTATTCCCTAACGTGTTTCGACGACAATACGTGATTAATTTAACGGCGTTATCATTCTAGCACGCGCGTGTGTATCCAATCTGTTGCCGAATCGTGAATGTACCAGTAATGTTATTTTAGCATTTCAATCGCATTAATGCAACACTGCTACCAATATCCTACTTCGGAAACATTCTCCAAATATCTTCTATTGTAACGTTAGAGAATAAAATAGAAACATTTTAAATTTTATTTTATATTTAATCATCGTGAAATAAATATAAATGCATGTAGGTTATTTTATAAATTACAACTTGAATTTCATCGTTTAAAACCATTAAAAGCGTAAAGTCGAAGAAATTTTTCTAATTACACCACTTGTATCTCTTTAAAGTAAAGTTCTTCCTGAAATACGCCATCAAAGCTATGAAAATACTTTATGTAATGAAAGATGAAGATGAATTGTAAAGTAAGTCGCAGGTATCTTATTTTATCTAAAAATTACAACAGTCTTTTCTTGCAAACGACACTTTCATAAAATATACGACGTTACTATGTCACACGATCGTTTCAATAAATAAAAAGTATTGTGTCAACGACGAGAATGCAAATGGCTTGGATTCGCTGGTTTTCTTGTTTTACATCAGATCGAGAACGTCACGACGTTTGCCAAAAGAGCGAAGAAATTGCTTCTGTCGTTGCAAAAAGGCACTGAAAATACTGGAAAAGCGAGCGACGGCTTGCCATTTTGCGATGCTTCTCCGGGTGTCACGAGGATGATTCGGCTCGCCTCGAATATTTTCAAATCGAGGACGGTCACCAAGAGATAGATCTCGATGGATATTCCAAAATTGTTCGCGCTCAAGGACGGGTCGTCCTTGAGGACCGTCGATGTGGAGAACATTCTCACGTTGATACACTTCGCTCCTGTGGCCCTTAACTCTATCGCTGCGTTTTTTCGCGTATAAAAGCGCAGAACTCTAAAACTGTCACATTGATGCGGAAAGCATGAAAGACGCTGAAAAGGCTTTTATGCATCCTTTCTACGCGACACTATTTCGCTGTGTTTATGTCCGAGAAATCGTTCGAGGCAAGGCCACATTAAGAAAGACAAATTGCCTGACTCTGTCTATATATGTATATAGTATTGCGTTTAAAAAAATAACAAGTATACAGTACATGCTAACTATTATGTCATATTATCACACACCGAAAAGTGTGTAATAATAAAAGAAAAGAAAATTTTATACCATATTTCAATCATTAATTAATACATTTATATGAGTTGGAATTAAGCTTTTTACTTTTAATCCTACAGTGATCTTAAAAAACCATCCTGTAATCTGCTTTTCATTCTGAATATTATATGTCACAAAAAATTGGACGTAAAATTTAATATAATTGGTATTGAAAAAAAAATAAAATAAGTGGTTTTTCCTTTGATGCAAAAGTGCTTTAGTCGATATAAAAAGAATTAAATCATAATTTCGTAATTGTTGTAATTATTCTTAATATTCTTTAATTCGAACGCGCATTGAAAGCTCGTCTATAAGTTCCTCCATTTAAAGATTCTTGGTCATTATCGTAAGTAACTAACCGTATAAATTCGTGCTGCTCTGCACCGTTTCTGTCGTCTATCTTTAAATGTGCACTTATAGCCACATAACTAAATGCTGCTTGCTCATCGTCATGGAAATACTGCATATATGTAGACGAGATCTTACCTGGTAGTGTAGTATTCGAAGAAGGCAACGAGTATCTCCAACGATCTTGACACTGCGGCCCACATAATTTTCTCTTTCCAATGAATTTCAATCAGCTAATCTAATCTCGCTATGGATTGCTAATACTTTCATGGAAATTCCAGTCCGCGAACCTGACGAGATGAATTTAACGCACATTTTCCAGCGATTCTTACATCGCTCTCGACATTAATTTTCGTTATCGTTCGTCTATGCGAAATCACAAAATTAAAAAATAAAAAAATAAAACACGATGGGCGATCGACCGACATTGCTTTATTATTTACTGTATCTATGGCTCTAAATTTTATAGAAATACATATTTTTAATCTATCCCTCGAATATCGGAGAGCGAATGTCAAATTCTGGAATGAATGCAGATTATACGCCAAATGTGTCCTCTACAAAATTTTCGTTGTACAAAATTCGCAGGAAGCATGTTTGATATATAATCCGATTAGCGCAAAATTTAATACTACTTCTTTAATGTCAAGATATCGTTATTTTTTCAGTTTATAAGTGAGTTTAAATGAAGCATCTTTGCCAAACTAAATCTGAGAGCGGCGGCTGTACGGCAAAGATAAAAAAGCCATTTTCTTCAATTAACTTTATGCACTTCCGTTAATTTTCTTTTAAGAAAATTTTATTCTTCTTCATTCTACCTCTTTATATCTTATCATAAAGATATATAAAATCGAGAAGTTGCAAGAAGTAATGACTCTCTTTAACTGTCAATTTTAATAATTATGCTACTCGATTGTAAATATATGAACCACGTGTACAAACAGCGCACTTATTTACAAGTATAAAATATGTATAAAAAAATAATCAGTCCCATTGCTAAAATTTGGTTGGACATTTACCTTTCAGAGACGATTTATTTATGAAAAAAATCATAATCCGCAATAAATTTTTAGAGCGAAAAAGTTCGAACGACTGACTAATTACTGATTAAAATGTCATATTGATGTGCTTAATTATTAAACTTTAATCTACATGGTCAAACAATTGTGTGGTTCACGGATGAAAAATTAATAAAATTTACGATACATTGTATCGTATCGCATTGTTACATTATACTGTATTTTGTAACAGTTTGTAACAACGCTGTGACAGAATCAAATAGAGACTGTACAATTAGTTCATATAATACATGCTGTACAATCAATTCCGCGGTCGTTTAACGCATGAATCGATAAACATGATACATTTTCATCGATTGCATGGCAGATAACATTAACGTTACGCTCCTAATTATTGACCCATAAAGAGTTACTTCATTAAATGTTGCAGTTATGACATCAAATCATTGTATATGCGTCCTTCATTAAACTAAACAAACAGAATAACGAGAATTGACTATCTTTCCAACGGTGAATTATTACACTTTATGGTTAGCCCCAACATCAATAAGTTATCAATATAACATAAATTGAGAAGTTTAATTGAGAAGCGTCATTAAGGTGTAAACTTTTCATGCTGGTTGCGCTGAGATTACGCGATAATATTTTAAGATAAAAGAAAAAAACGAGAGTAATTTAAAATTTTATCAATCGCGCTGCAAGGTTTGGACCAAATTGGTTAATACGTGCGAAAAATAAAAATGATTTACGAATGTAAGGTGAACATGTGGTGATATCAATTGCAACCAGAAAATATTGCACATCACGACAGCGATAAAAGAGCAACGTCATATTTATCGCCGACATCTGGCGACGTCATATGCATAGAAACTCGCGCGCTACACGTGACTGGAAGGTTTTTTTAATATGATAATGATGGATTTTTAAACATTTGGTCGCAACAAAGAACACATCCACGTGTACATTTTTCACATACAGACGAATCTTTACTCTCAGACTTTTGCATAAAACATGAAGAGAACCTAAAATAATCCAAAATCTTAAATAAAAATTTTCGGGGATGGAATTTACGCGCGCGCGCGCGCG